CTTCCCAGGATCTGTCCATAGCTGGGGGCTTTCTGCCTCAGTTTCCCTTTCTCCCCTGAGCTCTCCTCTCTGCTTTGCCCCTTCCCCTCCCAGCCTGGCTTTCTCTTTTCTCCCCTCCCACGGGGCTTTATTTTCCTTTCTCTTGCTATTTGCCACCTTGCAACTGGAAACCGGCCGTACTTCCCCATTATGAACAAGTTTCTCAGCACCTTCCTGCCCTCGCCCAGGGCCGGTTGCAACACGTGCCCCGGCAAACGCCAGGCTTTCGCAAGACCAATTCCTGTCACTCACACGCTGAAACTCGGGCAAACCTGGGGAGCTTCGCCCCCTTCAGCAGCGCTAAAAAACTCAGGGCCCAAGGAGGACTTTGCCAGCCCCATCCTCCTCCTCCAGTCCCAGTTTGGCTCCTTGAGACCCCCTGATCACGAGGAAGGCTCGGTCCAGCCTCCCAGCTCCTCACATGGAAATGTCCTGGAAACACGGTCCCAGGTTTGGCTCTGGAGAACCTGAACCCCCCTGGGGACCCTCAGTGGCTTCCTCTGCTGAAGAGCAGGGATGGATGTGACCCTGCAGGACACCTGTCCCCTCCTGCCACTGCTGGCTCCAGGGCTGCGGGTACCAAAGGTGAACAAAAAGCTACCACAGCCAACAAGAACGGAGCCAAAATCTGGCCCCAAGACGTCACGCCCTGCCCTAAAACAGCCCCACAAGGCTCTGGCCCCGCCAGCTCAGCAGATGCTGCCCAACTTCTCCCTGCTCCTGCTGAGGCTGGCAGTTCCCAGTGGCCACGCGGCTCGGGGTGAGGAGGATGTGGCTACGGCACCGCGGCCTCGTGCAGCCCCACCGCCCCTTCCTGACCAAGCCGAACTGGCCACGGGCTCCGCAGAGCCCTGCGGCCACCGGTTTTGACCAATCCAACCAGCGGGATAAAGCTCCGGGAGACCCTGCCCTGTCTGGTGGCGTGGGAGCAATTCAGAGCAGGAGCCCGAATCGCACATCATGGGATGCTGATGGAGCGACAAGGCAGAGCTGCGGGGCCATGATAAGGGCGATGGCGGCTTATCGGAGGATGGCAGCTGCACGTCAAGCCTGCTTCATCCACACACATCCAGCCATCAACGGTTGGACTCGATGGTCTCAAAGGTCTCCTTCAACCAAAACCATTCCGTGCCTTTCATAACCTGATCGCTGCCGCCGCACAGCGCTTTCCTCTGCGGAGGAACTCAACAGCTCCATCTGCCGACACGCAGCCCCACGGGGAGCTGGGGCAAAGGACACGGGACTCCTGGCGCCTGAGCCCCGGCTCCACGTCAGGGCTGGCCCCAAAGGGGTCCTCTCTGCAGGGAGACACCCGGTTTTGTGAGGGACCATGCAACCGGCTCCCCTCCACCAGCAGGGCTTTCCAGGGGGGAAGGAGGAAGCTGTGCCGGGGCGGTGGCACCGTGCCAGGGCACCCCCGTGCCCCCCTGCTCTTCCACCCAGGGATGTGCCGCGGTCGCCAGGTCCTCAGAGGGGACAACGCCTCCTTGACTGGGCTCAGCCACAGGCCTCAGGACACCGGAGCGCCCTGGTGCAGCGTGAGCC